GTCAGGAGGATGGCAATGGCATGGGCAATTTAAAGAATAAAAGAAAAGAAAGAAAAAGAGCTAGGGATGCAGCTCAATTGTAGAGTGCTTTCTTTTCCTTTTGGTGCTGGGAATTGAACCTGGGGCCTTGTACATACAAGGCAGGCACTCTACGACCTGAGCCACATCTCCAGCCAATTGTAGGGTGCTTTCTTAGTCTATGTGGGACCTTGGGTTTAGTCCCGAGCACAAGAAAAAAAAATGATAATCACTTTTATTTATTTATTTACTTATTTATTTATCTTTATGTGGTGCTGAGGATCGAACCCAGTGCTTCACACATGCTAGGCAAGCGCTCTATTACTGAGCCACAACCCCAGCCCATAATTATCTTTTAAAAACCCTGTCAACTCGATATTATGTTGACTCTCTGCACATCTGTGATAGGCTTTACTATTTGCTCGTATCTGGCTGCTTTCCTGACGCTTGCCATGAATCCTCCACAGGGAAGCTATTTCTCTGCCCATTAATATTGGGCTTGACCATATTTTCTAAAGATGACCACAAAAATATTCCCATTTCACAAGCATCTCAAGTCTTGTGATCCTGATGTCCTTCTACTAAGCAGTGGGGTCCATGTCCTCTTCCCCTTGAACCTGGGTGGACCTCTGGGAGTGCCTGACCTACAGGGCTCAGGGAAGTCATGCTATGTGTCTTCTGAGGTTAGAATATAAAGAGTCAATGTCTCTCCTCCTGGCTTTCTTTGGACACTTGCTCTTGGAACCCAACCACCACCATGCTTTGAGGGAGCCCAAAGTAGCCCCTACAGAGAGACCACTGGATGCCACATGAGGTGTTCCTACTGAACTCACTTCCAGCTGAGGTCCCCGATGTCAGCCTGCGTCAACCACCCAATGTGTAAGTGAAACACCCCAGACAGTTCTGGCACGGCCTTTGAGTGTTTCCAGATGAAGCCCCACACTCGTTGGAGCAGAGCTAAGTGGTCTCCACCGTGCCCCATCAGAACTCCTGACCCACAGATTCTCTGAGCAGAACAAAATGGTTGTTTCGTGCTCCTCCGTGTGTTCTGGGGTGGTCTGTAACGCGGCCACCCTCACTAGAGCGCTGTGGTTGGTGGATTTACTGCTACTTCTCTGTGTGCTAGTCTAAGCCTGGACATGGAGAGGGTCCCCACTTGTCCCTCTGCCTCCTCAAAGTCTTCTGCCAGGAGAAGAACATGCCCTAGGTGCCCGGCGGTCCCACACCATGGAGACACAGGGAAGAAGCCTGAAGCAAACTACAGGCTGAATCATGTCCCGTCAAATTCCTACGTTGGAATTCTAACCTCCAGGACCTGGGAATGTGACTGTTTGGGGAGAATAGAGCCTTTGAAGAGGTGAGTAAATTCCATTGAGGCCGTTGAGGAAGTCCCTGATCCAATCTTTAGAACTGAAAAAAAAAGTGCTATGAAGGTACTAATATGAAAAGAATGTAAACTGGCTGGGGATGTGGCTCAAGCGGTAGCGCGCTCACCTCGCATGCATGCGTGCGACCCTGGTTCGATCCTCAGCACCACATACAAAGATGTTGTGTCTGCCAGAAACTTTTAAAAAATAAACATTAAAAATTTTTTAAAAAAAGAATGTGAACTAACCTTCAAAGAAGAGTAGATATGATCAAGGGAGGGAGAAGGGAAGTGAAAGGGAAGGTATGGGAATGAGATTGATCAAGTTGTTTTGTGCATGTACAAATATGGTATAATGAATCCATTGTGTATAATTATAATGCACCAATTTAAAGAGTAGATATAAAATACCATTATGCAGAAGCAAGACCTACATAGAAAACACTTAGGGGCTGGGGTGTAGCTCAGTGGTAGAGCACTCGCCAGGCATGCACGGGCCCTGGGCGCAGTCCCTAGTTATGCAAAAGAACTCGAAACAGAACACCCAGGTTGGAACACATTTCTGAATATTTCTATAGCTTCTGCCTCATTACCTTCTGACTATCATGTCCTCCCAACAGGCTGGGAGAGCTGGCAGGAAGGTCCCTTACTGCTCTCTTTCTCTGTGTCCCTGCCATCTCTCCACTCAAGGCAGATAGGGCCTGGGGCCAAGAAAGCTGCTTTCTCAGATAAACTGAATTAATGTTCAAGGCTTCCCATACTTTTTTCCCAATGTCCTCCAGATCCATCTTCCTGTCCTTTCTCTGCTTTCCTCCAAACTCATCACTTTGGCAGAGGCACCAAACTTCCAGGACCTGGATGGTCTCCTGCTCCCACCTTCCCTGGTTCATCTCTTCCTTTTCCTCTTGGTGTGACAGCTCATGGATTCCCTTTATTTCTTCTCTTATGTCATGATCCTCACTACCACAGGGTCTTTGCATATGATTTTTCTCTCCACCTGGAATGCTGTCTCCTACCCCTCACCCAGTTTACATCCAGGATCCAGGCTTTTTTTTTTTTTTTATTACCAGGGTCTGAACCCAGGGATGCTGAACTACTGAGCCACATCCCCAGCCCTTTTTTAGTCTTTATATTTAGACAGGATGTCATTAAATTACTTAGGACCTCACTAATTTGCTGAGGCTGGCCTCAAACTTGTGATCCTCTTGCCTCAGCGTCCCAAGTTGCTGGGATTACAGGGGTGCACCACTGCCCCTGGCTCATCTTTCATATTTCAGGAAAGAAGACACTTCCTCCACACCCCGTCAGTTCCTCAATTGGTTACTCCAAGTACCATGAACCTCCACTTCGCACACAGTTGTGCTACAATTTATTAAAGCCACCCTCTGGTTGATGTCTCTTTTCCCATTTCAGACTTTGATATTCGCAAGGACTGGAAGTCACGAGACTGGAATGAGGTCTCATTCACTGCATCCCCAGATCCTGGGACACAGTGGGTACATAATCATCAATGAATATTGATCAAATGAATGTTGCCACAACTGCTCTGCCAAGTCCTTCCCTTGGCATCTAGTGTGTCCAAGGGGTGTGCTTCTCAGATCTGTCTTCAAAAGATTGATTGTAGGACCACCCCGGCTGCCGAGGCTAGGACCCCTTGGGCGGCTCGCCGTCAAGGACTGAGCCCTGCGGGGTCACGGGGACGGGGCAGTTGGGCCCAATGCCACACTCCTCTGATGGGCAGCACGGGCTCTGGGGCTCCCTGATGACCACCCCAAGACTTTCTCGGTAGTTGTTCAAGGTATCAACCGGCGGCGTCCCGGCTCCGGATTCACTCCTCAGTTCCTGCTCCACCTACTGGGGACGAGGCCGCGAGCACGTTTCCTCCACAGGGACATGCTGACCTTTGCCGGTAGAGGGCGCTGCAGGCAGCTGCGAAGGAGGCTGCTTCTCTCAGGGTGTGTGTGTGTGTGTGTGTGTGTGTGTGTGTGTGGTGTGTGTTCGTTCTAAAATTCATCTGACCCCCCACGAGCCCAGTGTGCCTCTTAAGCCCCTTGTTGGGGACCATCCTCCTGACACACACACTTTGGGCTTTGCCTGCACAAACGTGAAGTACCAAGGATTGATCTCAGGGGCACTGGACCACTGAGCCACATCCCCGCCTTGTTTTGTACTTTATTTAGAGACAGGGTCTCCCTGGCTTTGAACTTGCGATCCTCCTGTCTCAGCCTCCGGAGCCGCTGGGATTACAGGCCTGTGCCACCAGGCCTGGCCTGAGAGTCACCCTCCTGTGTGAGCTGCATGATGCTTCGCATTAAGCAGCCTCTGTTTGGGTGGCTCTGTGGTTCCTGCCTCCTGTTTGGATTGGGACAGATAGAGATGCCCTGCAGTCTGAGGCTAGAACCACGGTCTGAGGCTAGTTTCAGACTAGTCTGAAGGTTCTCCCCACCTACTGCGACCCCCCTGTCCTTGTCCTTCACGGGCACTGCCTCCCCCAATCTCCTCGCATGGTTGATCTGGGCATTTGTTCCTCAGAGGCCCCAACCTGACACAGCTCCCATCACACCAGGGAGAGGATTCCTGGGCCCCGTGGGCTCTGCTCTTCGCCCCAAGACCAGCGCCCCAGGCCTGGCCTCCTCTCCCAGGGTGCTCCTGTCAGGGCAGCCTCCTCGAACACCCAGGTTGGAACACATTTCTGAATATTTCTATAGCTTCTGCCTCATTACCTGCTGACTATCATGTCCTCCCATCAGGCTGGGAGAGCTGGCAGGAAGGTCCCTTACTGCTCTCTTTCTCTGTGTCCCTGCCATCTCTCCACTCAAGGCAGATAGAGCCTGGGGCCAAGAAAGCTGCTTTCTCAGATAAACTGAATTAA